AACTTAGTTCATTTGTATAGTATCAAGTGTATAAATGTTTAACTTAGTCAGTTGTTAAAACACAATGTGGATCCCATGCAAGTATACAACATTCTTAAAATGTATGACTTGTGTCTATAAACGCTAACACTACCTTTGTCACATTCCAAAACGACTAGTCCTTGCAAATTGAAATTATATTTATAGTCTAACATTGTTGATATGTTTTCAGAGACAAGATGAAAGGACAATTAAGTGTACAGACGTGAGGTTGATTGACTTTGGTTCAGCAACTTTTGATTGGGAACACCATAGTACAATAGTATCAACAAGGCATTACAGAGCTCCAGAAGTGATCCTTGGTAAGTTGTGTACCCACTGTATCTCGTCCTAAGGTGTTCTTTTCAGTTAAAAATTTATGTCAGGATATCAATCTTGTATTATTCTGGTTGAAACCAATCTTTTTAGTCCTGTAAGATGTCATCTGATCTGTTTGCACTTTGGATGTAGTTGGAGTTTGTTAAAAGTTGATACAAAGACAAGTCATGACAGAATGCATCCATTTGTTTTTGATTGACTGCTGACCATTTTTCAGAATGTCTTGATCGATTTCATTAAAACTTTTTGACATCGGTCATAGTGAAATACTAATGTACATGATTGTTTCGTAATTTGTTACTTATAATCTGTCTAAAGCCATTAATATTTTTCATTTCAGAACTAGGATGGAATCAAAGGTGTGACATATGGAGCATTGGCTGCATTATGTTTGAACTTTATTTAGGCATTACACTCTTTCAGGTAAAGTAGTTATAGCTTACTTTAGTACTTTGTTTTATAAATTGACACTAGAATGGTTAATAATCAGTATCTGCTGAATGCTTTTCACTGTATGGAACTAATCTGCCAATTGATATTTTTCCTTTTTATTAGACTCATGACAACAGGGAACATCTTGCCATGATGGAAACTATTCTAGGACCAATACCCTCAAAACTTATTAGAAAATCTAGGTAAGTTCATTTATTTAGCATTATTTATGTGATACCAATAAAAATACAATGTGCCATATATATACATGTAGTAAAATGCACAAGTAGGCATAGTGTTTCAGACTTCCACAATTACGGTCTGTTTCTTGTAAAGCAGAAATGTGTGATCAATTCATTAATCTTCAAAGAAATGCAATTGTTAGACTGGTTTAATAATTTATTTGTAATAAGCATATGAAGAGACAGTTTGTCACATGAGTACAGTACAATAAAATACAATACCTGTTGAAGGTTTCTATTAAAAAGTAATTCTTCATACTCTGATAAAGTAACCAACATAGATTACATTAATTTCAAATTCTGCTTTTCTGTCAACCAATATATAAAAGGACCCTCACCTCATCACACCTCACACATACACTTCTTTCTTCCTTTGGTTTCACTGCATAACAATGTAGCAGGAGCAGTTTCAATATCATACAGGCAATGCATTTTAATTTTCTGCGCTTTGGTTTGTAATTCTAGGAAGACTAAATATTTTTATCATGGTAAATTAGACTGGGATGAGAAAAGTTCTGCTGGTCGTTATGTCAGAGAAAATTGTAAATCATTGAAGGTGAGTGATGTGCATTTTTCCTTACCTCATTTCTATCCAACTTGCATGGATCCAATGTAATGTTTTAATTTGAATATACAGAATATGATTTAACAAATTCAAAATATGATGATGCAGTAATTTCAGGCTTTAAAAATGTGCAGTGATGAATAGATCAACTTACCAACCACTTTTGCAGTAATTCAACATACTGTCTCGTGCATATCAAATTTGTGATTTTTACCAGAACTACTTATGACTTTTAATGTTCTTGTTTTTCAGAAATATATGACATCAAATGATGAAGACCATGTTCTTATGTTTGATCTAATACAATCTATGCTGCAGTATGAGCCTGACAGACGTATTTCACTTAAAGATGCAGTGACTCACCCATTCTTTGACAAACTACACTGTAAAAGAGACATGAGGGAAAGCACTAGTAGATGATGCTAACTAAAATCGTAGTCAGCTTAAATCTACCTTTTATGTTGATACATTATTTATAGTACGTCTGTCGCCAATTTCAGTATGATATAATGTATGAAGGGATCCTTAGTTGACGGAACTGTAAATTTCGTGTATATTAATTGACTTTGTGAGCCTATTCAAAGTGGTGTAGATTCCATCACTACAAAATTTTATCCGAATAACTGACAATCCAGCAGCATAATTTCTGACTTCACTCAAAAAACATAGTGACTGTAATTGCCTGTAGATATAAAGAATTTATGTTGTATAGAGATGTTGTTTCTGTGTAGTCAAAGACTGCCACTGTCCTCAAAAGATTAAGTGTTCATTATAAACTATCTTGTCAGTTGCAATAAATGTATGGTTTTATTGAAATTGTCTATATTGCCTTTTTTAGCTCCTCTGTTGACTTTGTCAAGCAGAGCTTATCATATGAGTGATTGTCTATCTGTGTCAACCTCTTACTTTTTCGACTTCTTCTTGAAAACTGAAAGCTTTGATATTGGTGTATATGTACCTTGGGTAGACCTCTCATAGATTTGTTCATTTCGTGATATCTTCAATTCTCTAATTTTAAATTCTCTTCTTTTTTTGTAAAAAGTGATATATTCGAATTCTTGTTAAAATAAAAACAGCAAGTCTGATTGCTTTGATACTATACATATTCATTTTCCAATATCTTCAGTTCTTTGATTGAAATGTGCATTGCTATCTCAGCCGACAGGCTGCTTGTTCATAGTCTTTAGCTCACTGCTCTAAAAAGTTGACAGTTTGGTTGTTCTATTGGACCCCATGGCCTCAGCAACTATAATGGTGTAAACTGTTATCAAACTAGGCCACTTTTTATCTCTATTGATTTTGTAGAGAGCTTATACAAGTGATTGTGTTTGTATAAACTTTTTTGACTTCTCGAAAATTGAGTCTCATTGCTTTGATACCAAGTATGTTTCTAAATGTCGGCCTTTCACAGATTTGTTTATTTTGTGATATCTTCAATTCTCTAATTGAAATGTGCATTGCTAACAGCAGAAAGGCTGCTTATTTTATTACCAATTGTGCTTAAAATTGCACAGAGTTGAAAATTCTTAAATAGCAAGAATGCAATTCAAACTATAGGATGCCAACATTTATTGAAATTGGGATTAAATGCATAGAACTTTTGTTTCATTTATAGCGAAATTATAATTTCAATTATCAGGATCACACATGACCTTAATATTGCAGCGATGTGAAAAGGGCTATTTGTGTTCTAAACTTCACAAAAATTTTGTATTTTTAAGTCACTAGCAGCATAATGAATATTCATGATCTAACTCTAAACATAAAATGGTCGTGAGTTTTGAGTTTGAACCCAGCCATAGTGCAGCTAAACTTCCTCAGAATTTCTTCAATGATGTAGCATAAAAAAGTACTAGAACAAATCAACGAACAATCACTAATATAACATTTTTACTCATTGCACATAATCCAAAAGTATCATTTATTGAAGCAGGAAAACATAGAACAAATGTATTCACTCATTGTAAAATAAATTATCACTAACAAATCATTATGTATATACATTTATTAAAATATTGATACATACTCCTGAGTTTGTGAAGTTAGTCAAAATAGTGACTACCACAATAAAAATGGATGATCAGTCAGTTTGGTTTATAAGCTAAACAAATGGATTCAAATGACACCTGGTATAAGCTGGTCAAATCTGAACCATGGGAAGTAAGATACTCATTGGCCAGCATGCAGGTAATTCCATAGTCATGTGATGCCCCAAGATGATTGACAATGCACTTTCAATCAAATTTATACCCAAATGTTGTGTACACTAATAGATGTACATGCATACGATAGGTCAGTAAATTTTTAAGTTACTTCTTGGTGTGAGCTGTTGCATTCATGTAAGAAGTTTGCAGAGACTGGGCAAGGAGTTCCACTGAAATGAAAGAAAGATAGCATATATCACAGTGTACATCTTTGCACATAACCATTAATCTTAATAGTGTGAATAACATTTAGTAACTATACTAATGCCATATTAAATGTACTGTTTTTGCAACTGAGTTTAATGATAAAATAAATTTGGTACTAAACACAAATTTGCAGAAATATTTTAAAAAGTCCTCATGATGGCAAATTGTTAGAAAAGACATGTCACTCTTAACACATCAGTCTGATACCATTTTGTGAATCGGTTCAAGTTGAAGGTCTTCAAGGATTGCCAGTGTATGTGAGTTTTTTTTCTTGAGAAATGCTAATGTTCATATCAAGAGAGATGCAATTTCTCACAAAAACACGAAGTTGGGAATACAGGAATAAATTTGCATCTCACAATAAATATTTCAAGGTGGTGAATTAATCATCTCTTGTGGGCATAGAGCTGTAATTTTACCCTTAATTGAACAAAGCCATGTTAAACGCATTTATTAATTGGGCGACTGTTAACAATGTACTAAGCGAAAAAGAACAGGTCTTTTGAAATTCCGGGCATTAATTACAAGGGGGAAACCATGTACAGTTGACTTGCTTGCGACATGAATAAATATAAACAGATTGAAATGGAATCCACTTGGAACATGTCACTGATTTGGCATACATAGAATGAAGGGAAGACATGCACTGACTGGAAAAATACCCGAAACCCGAAGGATGTGTGACACTTTCAACATGCTTATCTGAGATCCTAATAACAGGGATGTTTGTTGTGAGGAATATAACAACAGAACAGTATGTACCGTTACTTATTATTTCGTAATTGTATATAAAAGCAGGGTTGAGAGCAATGATGTGAGCACGGCTTTTTACTATGATGTATCAGTTTCCTCATGTTACCATGAAAACATCACTAAGTTCTTGTCAAGAACACTTTAGTGAGGGTTGTTCGATCACGAGAAAATATACTTGAGGGATTAGATGCTGTGCTATGTATACACTGCTGGGTACATGTAACAAGACATGTCAGCAAGGGGAGAGTGATCACATATAAAATATATTAGGCCAGCAGTGCTGTAGCGCTGCCATGGCAACAATGTAACAGTTACCACTGTGACTGACTATAGTTCGCTGATTACATGAAACATACTATTGAAAAATATTATGATGATGTGACTTTATCATATATTATATGAACTCATGCATATTCTATTGTAAATTGCAAAATAAATGTAACAAACACAACATTGCATTTTTTATCATCCTCTAACCAACACCCTCAACCACCACCGCACCTTAAAAGAGATTACACTTCCTGTGCACATGTTTTAATGTCTACTTATAGAATACAAGTAGCCACGGTATGATAATCATCATGAAAAGTGTGTACTTACAGTGTGGAAATACACCTCGTTTAACTGTATTCGCAAACAACTTGGACAAGAAGTAATGACATTTTTTAAATTCTTCCTCCATTTTATCTAATATTGGCTCACTGAAATCAAAATATTTGTACATCATAAATACCCATCATTAAAATTTACTTCATCACTGTGG